AGCTTATCTCTGCTGTGGATTTGACATTTAGCCACCAGGACCTGTCATCTTATGCATGTAATATCTTTTCAATATCGGAAAGTGCCTTCATAGCTAAAGCTCATGAGGTGTATCGGCTGTGCACGTTCACTCTCCCTTGATGCTCCAAGATTCCTGAGACACGGTGAGGCAGATAGTATCACAGTTACAGCATTATTCTCATTTTTTCAAATGATATCATTGAGGCTTAGAGGTGTTAAGTAACCTGCCCAACCAGGAAGTGGCAGAATTGGGATTTGAACTGAACTTTGTCTATCAACAAATTTGTAGTAACTTTCTACTATAATCAAAATGGCAAAGAGGTTGGCTTCTTCTCAAATCCAGCCTAAGTGGCTGGTTATCGCTGCCCAAAGTGCTGTGTCAAAAAGCCAAACTCAGTCCGACCAGTGTGGCTCAGTGGTTGAGTGTCAACCTATGAACCAAGAGGTCACGGTTCGATTCCAGTTGAGGCACATGCCCAGGTTGTGGTCTTGGTCCCCCGTGGGGGGCATGTAGGAGGCAGCCAACCAGTGACTCTCTCTCATCATTGATGTTTCTATCTCTCTCCCCATCTCCCTTCCCCTCTGAAATCAACAAAAATATAACAACAACAAAAAAACAGCCAAACTTAGGCTCAGCATGAAAGGGAACCGTCCACAATGAAGGAACAGGGTCAGCGTGGGTCCAGCTATGGAGGAAGAGCACGCGGCCACCTGTTTGCCGGCCCCTGCTGCATGCTAACTTTCCTGAGCTAGGAGAGCATTTACTACCGGTTGCATTTACATTACATGTACAGGAGCATTTACATTCTACAGCCCTTGGAGCAGAGAGCTTACCCTATAGCAGATGAGCGTCAATATTTCCCGCCTGTAGCTACATCGACACCCTCGGTGAGGCCCAGCAGAGACGGGCTCCCACAGCCTGCAGCAGCCCCACCAGGGGCTGTGAGCGAAGAGCCCCGCTCCGGACCAGCTGAGCGGCTTGGCTCAGTGACTGATTCCAAACTAACAGGCATGCAAAGTACAGTGTGAAGTTTAAGGAAAAGTGTTTGACCCAGAAGACTGAACGTCAATGTGAAAAATAAGTGGTAATGCTTTTCTGCACGGTGATAATACTTTTCTCATGCACGAGCTGGTACAGAGAAGCCGCATGCCATGTGGAACGCACACCCTGCACGTGGCTACTCCTAAGGTTGTGCATCTCCTCTGGGGGACCCACCCCCCCACCCCCATCATTCCTGATTTCCTATATCTCAAGATTCCTGGGAGGATCAAGGGATAAGGGACCAGCGTTATCTGATGCCCCACCCCATTACCTGCTGCTGCCATCTCTACTCTGACAATTAGTGAATCAGAAAGGGAGAGAATTTCTGGCAGGGACTGCTGTCAATTACTGGAGACAAAATGACCCATTACCACTCTTCTCCAAGCCAGCCCTGCTCCCCTCCCCGGCCTCCCTCCCGGACCACCTCCTGCCTCGGGCCAGGAGTTCTGTTTCCGCCTCATCTCTTTACCATACCTCGGGATGGGGACGGGTCCAGGAACCCAGGCCAAGACCAGCAAATGTATCACCATGCTCATGACAGCAAGCTGCATGTGGAGCGAATTCCACAGCCCCCACCCCCTCAGCTCCTCCCTCTGCCAAAACCTGGGGAGCTGTAAGATGCCGCCGACTGCAGACTTATCTCCACATGAGGACTGGTCCTGTTGGCAAATGCAGTTAGGTATCAGCCATCGGGCTATTTTTAGAAGCTTGTTTGGGAAGATCTCAAAAACAAAAATTGCCCTGTGGTGAGAGATATTAGCCAATTCGCCGAAACAGAGCATCAGTAAACACATTGTAAACATGCCGTTAGCAATATGGAGCAAGATGGCCTTTTGTCCCCCAGGAATAGCTCACTGCTCCGTGAGCAGGTAGGATGCCCATGGCGTTTATACACCTTTCAATCCCGGTGGCCAAATCCTGTCTTTATTCACACGAGCGGCTCTTCCCAGGCTGGGGCTGTGAGGTCCTTGACCCGGTCCTTCCAGAGGCGCTTCCCAGGGTCCGGCCGGGGGAGCCGTCATTCCAGCTGGAGCTGGAGGTCATGACAGGCCAGGCTGAGCACCCACTGGGGCGGTGCATGAGGCGGGGCACGTCATCAGGGAGACCCAGGTCAGGGAGGCCGGTGGTGGGGAAGGCAGGGGTCAAGGAGGCGCCACAGGAGCAGGTCACCTGCAGTGTCACTGGGAGGTGGTACCCAGGCTCCTGGGCGGCTCCCTCTGCCAGGCCCCTGGGCCAGGTCCCAGGAAGCAGGCCCGGCCCGGGGACACTGGGTCTCCCCACTGTGGGCAGGAGAAAGCCCTGCTAGCCTGTGCTAAGCAAACAGATGAGTCTAAGTGTGTGCTCCGTTGTCACACCACCGTGGCCTTTTATTTGAAGAACTAGAGACCTAGTGCACGAAATTCATGCACTCGGGAGGGTGGGGATCCCTCAGCCTGACCTGTGCCCTCTCGCAGTCCGGGAGCCCTAGGGAGATGTCCAGCTGATGGCAGTCAGACATCCTTAGCACTGCCATGGAGGCAGGAGAGACTCCTGCCACCACCACTGCACTCACCAGCCATGAGCCCAGCTTCTGGCTGAGTGGCGCTCCCCTTGTGGGATCGGGCTGAAACCGGCTCTCCGTCATCCCCTGAGAGGTTTTGGATTGTGAGACAGTTCCCACTGGTGCACAATCAGGGCCAGGGAGGGATGTGGGAGGTTGGGCACCCGGGGAGGGACCACAGGAGGGCTTCAAGGCGTGTCTAGCCTATCTCCCTCAGTCCCGATCAGCCAGACCCCATTAGCAAACTAACCTACCAGTCAGAGCATCTGCCCCCTGGTGGTCAGTGCACATCATAGCAAGCGGTTGAGAGGCCTTAGCATATCATTAACACATTATGCTTTGATTGGTTGAATGGCTGTCCGGTCAACTGAACACTTAGGATATTAGGCTTTTATTATATAGGATGTGTGTGCTGTGCTTTAAAATTCAAGTCAGTGGTATTGATTCAGCTGGAGTCTCAACCCAGCAGCACCCCTCACCCCAACTTCTTCACTATGCTGGTGAAGACAGTGATGGTCATTTCCCCTCGCGTGGGGGCAGGAGGAGGTCCGATCTGGGGCTGGGGCTGGGGCTGGCCTGTGGTTCAGGCTGTGTTCCTGTTGGCTCGGGGCCCTCCCAGTGCTCATCCTTGAGCCGGGTGTCCACATCCCCAGCTCCCTCTCAGCACCTACCTTCCCCACTGGGAATTGGGGCAATCATTGCTATGCCCCTGGCTTCCTCTCTGTGAAGATGCAGACTGGCACAGTGCACGCCTGGGCCCAGCTGCACAGCAGCCTCCGAGAGGGAGCAAAGGAGCTGGTCTAACCCAGAAAGGACACGTCTGAGTGGAGGAATCCTAGCACCCTGAGGGGTGGAGGGCCCTCACTGCTGACGAGAGAGGATCCTTTCTCTGCTCTTCCAGACAACTGACCGGCCAGAGTCTGAGAGTAAAGGAAGCAGGTGTGGACGCCACCTCAGTAATTCCTTATGCAACATCATCAGTGGGACAGCCGGGACACACACAAGTGGGCGGGGAAGTGGCCATTTCATTCTGTAGAAGGCATTCCTAAAGGTGGTGGGAAGCTAAACCGAATGACCTCTGACCCAGTCATGACGTTCTAGGAGTGCCCGAGAGCTGTGAGTGAGCGGCAAGGCCTCCTGTGACCGCTTCATTGACTGCAGCTCAGCCGCAGCCTCCGAAGGGCCGAATGCACTTTGTGTCAAGAAAGAAATACATGAGACAAGGGAGCGATGAGGTTCCCAGGCTCCCTTGGAGTCCCCCAGCGGCCGGACCACATCTCCCAATGGGACAGGCACTGTAGACAGACTGACATTTTCACTGGTGTGCTGAGCCCTCGCACATAAGCCTCAGGGCTGTGGCTTCCCCCTCCCTCGGGCACAGACTCCTAGAGCTTTAGAGACTGAGGGAACCTGCAGGCATGTTGTCCCAACCCTTGCCCAGGGCCGGCGTTCTCACGCCAACCACCCAGCGCGGTCACCCAGCTTCTGCCTGAGCAGGAAGAGGCTTGGCCATCAGGTTAGTCCATTTTGAAACCACTTAATCGTGTTGAGACAGTCCTCTTGATGAGCTGTTTCTTCCTCATATGGAGCCCATGTCTGCCTTCAGTCAGCGTGACTTTTGCCCTCAGCAGTCGGACAAAAACAAATGTTTTCTCATCCCCTTGACAGTGTTTAGATTTTCTAAAACAGCAGTTATCTCCATGCCTCCTCTCCCTCCCAGTATTTCCCTCCCCATCCAAATGCCTCAGGTCACCTCAGATAGTTCTCATCTGGCATCGTTTCAGACCCCTCGCCATCCCAGTTACTATCTTCTAAATATTTTCTCTTTTACTAATGTTCCTTATAAAGAGTTGCTCCTAGAACAAATACCAGCTGTGGTCTGATGACTGCTGTCACCTCCTTTGATCTACACACTATACTTTTATTAATACAACCTAGAATTATCTGTGCGTCATACCAAATGGTCAACTGTTGTGTTTATCTTAAGGTGTTGATTAACCAAAACTACCATCTTTTTCTTTGGACACAATTTCATATAGCTTAAAAGAATTAAGTGGATTTAAAACTGGCCCTGTAAGCCATTAAAACATCAAACCCTGCCTCCCTGTGTAAGAGCTCAGAGCCCTAGCAAAGATTATCAGTGACAGGCTAAGAAGCTGACCCCCAAAATGATTGGCTCCAAAGGTGAAATGTGAATTGGCAGTGATGTGCCAGGGCCCCAACCTTTGCAGCCTCTTCTTCCAACAAAATTCGGGCAGAGAAGGGCTCTTCTTGGAAGCTGCACCTGCTTTTGTCTCCCTTACTCTGCCTTTCTTTTCAGCTTGCCCCATGCTCCTGAGGCCATCTTCCTCCCAGCCCCTGGGAACTCACAAGCGCTTTTCCTTTGTGTCTCCGACAGGTCACCTGAAGGAAGCTATCACCCAGCGGCATCTGCAGCAAGCGGCTCTAGGTGAGTACAGAGTGGAGGCTGTGGGAGGAAGGCGAAGGTTACACCAGCTCACCTGCCTGGAGCCCCACCCTCAGCTAGAACATAACCCGCCCACACCCTGGGGAAGCTGAGGGAAAGGAGGTCTGCTGTCAGTGCAGCTTCCTGCAGACGCCCCTCCTCCCAGGGACCAGTTTCCTCCACTTGTGTGCTTGCTCCCAGCATCAGCACCAGGCACCCCACCCTCCCAGCTGCTGCCTCATCCTCCTGGCCTTGTCCACCCCACACCCCAAACTAAATTCACCCCACATCCCAGCCCCTCAGAGTCCTTCTCTGAGCTTCCTAGAGCCACTGCTAACTAGTCCTACAGTGAGGACTCGCGGTTAAAGCAGCCTCCGTGCCCGTCTCCTTCCATCCTCACCACCGTCCAAAAGGTAAGTGCACTTTCCGTGTGAAGGCGATCCAATGACTTCCCAAGGTCACAGGGCTTCTCAGTGTGAAACTCGAACTCGGACCAGTTCTCTGAGTCTGCACTTGGTGCTTTTAGCCCCACGCTGCTTTTGCCCACAGCCGTGGCACACGCACCTCTGCACGTGGATAATGCGAACACTAAACAAGCACCGTGACATTCTAATTTGAAGGCCTTTGGCGCCTTTTAAGCAGCGACATCTGCAGACAATGCTCCCTTCTGGCCTGTGCCCCGAGGAAGTGTGCTGGGAGGAGCGTGCAGCCCCAGAGAGGCTGATGGGCAGGCACCTGGGCAGGGCCAGCGTGCTCCTCTGCAGCCTGGGACCAAGCACACATGCAGCTTCAGTTAAATATGCAACGTGTTTATCCCAAACAAAGAGCTTGTCCAGGGTGGCCTGGCCCTGGAGTGGCCCGGACCTGAGAAATCCAGCAGCAGGGACTCCTAGCGGAGAATAGCGGGCAGCCCGGGGTCACGAGGATGACCCCTGTGACCTAGGAACTTGATCATTAGGAAGGCTGGTTGTTTGGTTTCGGTAATAATAATGATAGTTTCAACAACTGCTGATTACATCAGAAATAAAGAGCAGGGAGGCCCGGGACACACTGGCCAGAGCTCGGCCCCAGGACTGAGGGCAGGTCAGCCTGCCAGGCCTGCCTCCTGTATGTGCCTCTGAGGGTGATGGTTAGCGGGGCTGGGTGACTGTCGTGAGCCGAGCGGTGCCGTGTGGAGGAGACTGACTGGTGAAGGGAGGCCAGGCCCAGGGGCGCCAGAGAGAGGGCCGCCGCTCGTGTCAGAAGAGCGCGTGCTACCCTTTCGAGAACTTGGGAACCGTGTTAAACACAGCTGGCGTTAAAGTTAATTATATACAATTAAGTAAATTACATTGAAAAAAACAAAGGTAACAAATACAGTGGGGCCTTGACTTACGAGTGTCCCGACTAATGAGTTTTTCGAGTTATGAGCCGTCTCTCGGCCGATTTTTTGCTTTGAGTTGCGAGCTAAAATTCAGGTTATGAGCCAGCTTCAGATACCCCACCGCTAGTTGGCGCAGCGAACGTCACAATGAATGCCACCACATCAGCCCAGCATCACGTGTCTCGTTCACTTTTTGATTTGACATACGAGTAATTTGAGTTACGAGCTCTGTCATGGAAAGAATTAAGCTCGTAAGTCAAGGCCCCACTGTACTCAAAATCCACCCCTTCCTGAATAATTTACCACATTTTATTGTCATCTCTGTGCTCAAGGTCATTGACATCACGGGGTCTGTCTCATGGAGATGGATTTGATGGTGGGGCTCCCCGTGTGTCTCTTTAGACCACGTTCAGGGCGTGGCCCAGGCACCTTGAGGTCAGCGTGGTGGGACCGTTTACACCTAGGAACTAACACATTATAAATAGAGCCCGTGGTTACACATCTACCATCACACCACTGGCACAGACAAGTGTCCGTTGAGAGGCCAACTTCTGCACATGTGTGTGTGTGTGCGTGTATGTGTGTGTGTGCGTGTGCTCTCATGATGACTTCTACCCGCTTCCTGGCTGAAAGTCCATGACGGCCCTCCTTCATGGCCTGCCTCCCATGGAACCCTGTCCTTTATAAAGTCAGTGGGCAAGGAAACCAAGGGAGACAGAGTGGGGCAGGCGAGGCCGGGCCCAGCAGCCCCCCGATGCGACAGCCAGTGTCCGAGGGGATCTCTGGGAGACACATCCATGGCCAGTTCTAAGAATGTCACGTACAAGCAAAAGTTACTGGTGGACTTAGTGCGGGGCCCACTCCCACCCACTGCTTCAGGAAACAATGAAACAATGTTCTTTTTAAATTAAGCAGCATTTGGGAACGATTCTACTTGAACTAGATTCAGCTAGCGCCTGAATTCCGTGTGCTCCCCCCACTTTGAGGCCCTGGCTACGATGGCACAGTATTGTCATCATGCAGATGACACAATCAGCAGGCCTTCTCAGCTCTTCACCACGAGCCAGGCATGACTCTGTGCTCTTTGCCTGTGTTTCCTCCTGTGATGCTTCTAAAACACCCACGAGCAGATACGACTGTTGCCCTGGCTTTACCGTTAAAGCTCAAAGGGGTTACGTGCACGTGCTTAATGTCGCTCAGTTAAGGATGCAAACACGACAGCGCAGCTCCAGATCCCACGCTCCCACCCCCACACTGCGCTGCCCTCACCCTTGCCAGGCGGGCATCGCGGTCCACAGAGGGCAGAGGTCCGATGCCTGCCCTAGCCAGCGGGAGGGGCCACATGCATAGAGAAAACTTTATCTAATTTCAGATTTAGACACATATGTATTGTGCCACTGTGTCCTCTTCCCACTGCAGTCCCCAGAACCGTTCAACCGTGACCTGCCCCCGGTCACCACAGCGGCTTTGTCCTCCAGCCCCACACACCTCTGCGAGAGCACCAGCCCTATTTTGTAATTATCCGTTCCCATAGCTATTCTCCACGCTAAAACGTGGGCTCCCAGAAAGTCGGGTGAGTCTCTGTACCCCTAGCAGCCAGCACGGGCAATAAATAGGCCCAATCAGTGCTTCCCCAGATGGCTTCCAGACCCACACATCTTGCAAAAGCATAATGAGACATTGGAACATAAAATAAAATAAGTCCATTAAAAGCAGTGGAAGGAGTAAGTGCTTTTGGACCCCACAGCCGAGCAGATTATGACACACAGGCGATAAATTCCTCTCTCCCTTATCTAGCCGCGAGGCAGAGAGAGAAGCGCCCTGAGAGCCAGTTTCTTTCCTGACAACAGGAAGCACGCTCACTAATTTACCCGCAAAAATAGAATCTCTCCCTGGAACCAAACACAGCCAGGACGTGGGGCGCAGACCCTTGTGTGAAGGACAGAGTGGCTTCGTGGGCGACGTCTCCCACTGCAGCTCCACAAAACGCACAAAATGTTGTTCAAGCACAGTTCTTAGACCAACCTTCCCTGACAGCGCGAGCGGACACTGCAGCCCAGCTCAGGAAAGTGTGGGTGCACGGCCGAGGTCCTGAGCCAGGCACCTGCGTGGCCCACGGACCGGGATGGAGCGGGGGCCAGCCCCGAGGGCCGGCTCCTCCGTGTCTGTCCTGAGCAGTATCTGACCAGGGACTGGCTCTCGCTCAGCTGCCCTCTAAGTCCTACCAAGTGCCTGTGACTAAAGTGTAGAAGACACAGGCCCTGCTGAGCAGCTGTACAGTGTGTCAGGCGAGAGGGACTGGCCATCGGGCTTTGGGAGGGAACCCACCTGAGGGTGTGTGGCCTGGAGGTCACTGAGACTGCGGCCTGGGCTGAGCTTAGAGAAGGGGCAGGACTCAGAGCCCAAGTGGAGAGGGCGGGGAGGGGTTGTTGTGGGTGTGTGTGATGTGTATGGTATGCATGATGTGTGTGGCATGTGTATGTGTCATGTGTGCATGGTATGTGTGGTTATGTGTGTATGGTGTATATGTGTGTGGTGAATGTGGTATGTGTGCTGTGTGTGGTATGGGGGTATATGTGGTATGTGTGTGGCATGGGCATGGTATGTGTGGTATATGTGTGTGTCGTGTGTGGTATGTTTCTGTGTGTGGAGGGGGAGGAGGATGAGTTTTTAAGGAGTGGATTTGAAGTGGGGGGGTGCTGAAAGGGTGAGTTGAGGGGTTCAGTGAGGACCTTGGACCTGAGCCTTTACCTTTCGGCCGGCTGAGCCACTGAGCATTCGCCAGCACGGAGGGCTGGGTCAGGGGCCGTTTGGGAAGAGAGAACCCCAGGAAGTCGCCAAATTCCCATCACTGGCCAACTCCTGAGGACTGACAAATCCGTCTTCCACCACGACCACTGCCCAGCCTTCCCCTGCCCCTGCCCCGCTGTTCCCTGGGCACACACACTCCCAGCCCAGCCAGGAGGGCCTGGCCAGCTCTCAATGAGTCTGCTGCTGCAGACACACAGGTCTGAGGCTGCCCCAAGAGTCCCACACTGGCCACACGCCTGCCCGCCTGGCCTCGCCCTGGGGGCTAGGTGGTCAGTCCGTGATTTTGTCTGTGGAAGAAGGAAGTGGGGGATCCTGCCCCTGAGAAGCTCAGCCCTCATTGGATGACACCTCAGTTATCCCTGCCCCAACTTCTGTGAAAGCATGACCTGCTGGAACATCCTGTCGCCTCTATTATAGGCATGTCACAGGAGATAGCAACAATAATGACGAAGATGAATTAATGACAAGACAAGCTCCACAAGCAGGCCATTGGCAGGTTCCAAATGGCGTTGGAGGTTCCCCCACAAACACTAGCCTCCGCCCACCCCCTGTCAACACCCCAGGAGCAAAGCAGCCCCTGGGCCAGTCCCCTGTGGCCGCAGTGCCACCGGGGGTTGCTCCCTGTCCCTGAAAACAGGGCAGCCACTGCCCATCCTCAGCGGGGCCTTGGGACCATGGGGAGGCCCCAAGCCCAGGGCTCCCTATTTCACTTCATTGTTCCAGCTGAGTGTCACAAACAGCTCATTTCCCCCAAACAGAGTTCCTGCAGTGCCCTCTAGTGGCGACCCTGCTGTCTCCGTGTAAAATCATTTAAGATTGCGCCTGCACT